CCTGCACTGGCAAAGATCCTGTCCTGATCACAGCTCCTAACCTGCACTGGCAAAGATCCTGTCCCGATCACAGCTCCTAACCTAGACTGGCAAAGATCCTGTCCCGATCACAGCTCCTAACCTGCACTGGCAAAGATCCTGTCCTGATCACAGCTCCTAACCTGCACTGGCAAAGATCCTGTCCCGATCACAGCTCCTAACCTAGACTGGCAAAGATCCTGTCCCGATCACAGCTCTAACCTGCACTGGCAAAGATCCTGTCCTGATCACAGCTCTAACCTGCACTGGCAAAGATCCTGTCCCGATCACAGCTCCTAACCTGCACTGGCAAAGATCCTGTCCTGATCACAGCTCCTAACCTAGACTGGCAAAGATCCTGTCCTGATCACAGCTCTAACCTGCACTGGCAAAGATCCTGTCCCGATCACAGCTCCTAACCTGCACTGGCAAAGATCCTGTCCTGATCACAGCTCTAACCTGCACTGGCAAAGATCCTGTCCTGATCACAGCTCTAACCTGCACTGGCAAAGATCCTGTCCTGATCACAGCTCCTAACCTAGACTGGCAAAGATCCTGTCCTGATCACAGCTCCTAACCTAGACTGGCAAAGATCCTGTCCTGATCACAGCTCCTAACCTGCACTGGCAAAGATCCTGTCCCGATCACAGCTCCTAACCTGCACTGGCAAAGATCCTGTCCTGATCACAGCTCTAACCTGCACTGGCAAAGATCCTGTCCCAACCACAGCTCCTAACCTGCACTGGCAAAGATCCTGTCCGATCACAGCTCCTAACCTAGACTGGCAAAGATCCTGTCCCGATCACAGCTCCTAACCTAGACTGGCAAAGATCCTGTCCCGATCACAGCTCTAACCTGCACTGGCAAAGATCCTGTCCTGATCACAGCTCCTAACCTGCACTGGCAAAGATCCTGTCCCGATCACAGCTCCTAACCTAGACTGGCAAAGATCCTGTCCCGATCACAGCTCCTAACCTGCACTGGCAAAGATCCTGTCCCGATCACAGCTCTAACCTGCACTGGCAAAGATCCTGTCCCGATCACAGCTCTAACCTGCACTGGCAAAGATCCTGTCCTGATCACAGCTCTAACCTGCACTGGCAAAGATCCTGTCCTGATCACAGCTCTAACCTGCACTGGCAAAGATCCTGTCCCGATCACAGCTCTAACCTGCACTGGCAAAGATCCTGTCCCGATCACAGCTCCTAACCTAGACTGGCAAAGATCCTGTCCTGATCACAGCTCTAACCTGCACTGGCAAAGATCCTGTCCCAACCACAGCTCAGAGACCCTAAACCACAACTGGAAGTACTGCCGCGTTTCTCCAGCTCTCCCACAGGAACACTGGTGAGGGAGCAAAGGGTTACATTTCAGCAGGAAACGTTAATTTTAGATTTATCTGCAACGCATGTTTTCTTCCTGATCAATTCATAGACTAAAATGAATCATCATCTTTGCTCTTGAGGCAATAGGGGAGAAAGAGACCCAAAACTACAGCTGGGAATTTGTTTTCCTGAGCTGTAAATCCATTGCTTCTCTGTCTGGAGTGAGAAAGCACGTGCAGCTGAGGAACTAAGGCTAAAGGGCTCTGTACTACAGCTTTTATCCTCACCTTAAATTTTAGGACATGTGTTCAAAGTGTAACTTCATCCCTACTCGCACACCAAATAAATAATGATGGGGGCAGGAGGTGAGGGAGCCTCGGAGGAGGCTGCTGCACTGCCAGCTGCCCTGGGATGTGGAAGCTGACACACGCTGGGCTATCACCTCATCAATGTCCCAGCTGCCTTGGGAGGCAAAACCCTGACTGCTGCTCTTAAAGGCAGGTCTCACACACCAGCAGCCCAGGGCTCCAGATAAGCTTCAACAAATACAGTAATTACAAATGCACGGTACATAAGTCACAACAAAATGGCAACAAGAACTTTTAGTCCAAAACATCAGCAGCTTCAAGTTTTAACTCTCTTATGTTACATACCGCTGTATTTCAGATAAGAGAATTAAAGATCATGCTGCTTCTCAGCGTCTTTGCTAAAAACACATTAAAATCTATGCCTTTGTACACACTCACTGCTGTTCAAGCTGCTTTCTAGTAAAATAGGCCTTTTTACTTTTTTTTTCATATTTACAGTATATACAGTAAAATACTCCGGGAGAATGTCAGTTTTCTCCCAAAAGGGATGGCCTAGCCTAGCCAGTGATCTGCAGTAGATTTACTAAATTAAATTCCTATTTAATAATGAGGGATTGACTTTATGTTCCAAAAGGCTGGCAAGTGCACTGCTGTGTGTGCACGACAGCACCCAGCAGCGTGCAGCCCAATCCCAATCTCTGGGATCACACTTTGGCTAAGAGCTGCAACCCACTCTGTTTGCACTGCAAACAAAACAACGGCTCTCAGCAACTGAGAGATTAATAAATTGAAGGAGCACACATCTCTCACAAAGGGCAGACACTATTTTATCTTTATGATGCAGAAGGACAAGGCAAGAGGTAACCAAGCTGACAAGCATAAGGGCACCTGGAATTTGTTTTATCCTGCTATCAGAACTCCACCTGATGACAGAGTATCACAGCATATACAATATTTACATTTCTGAAAGTAGTGTACTGTGTGCTCAGAGCTGCATGCTCCAGCTACTCCTTAACTACGTATGACAACACTCTAATGCAAAATTCACAAAGGTGACTGGAGGAGTTTCATTGCAAAATAGCAGCTTCATTGACTACTCCTCTACTGAGCATGACTACAGCATATCTCGGGATTATTACTATTTTATCTGCCAGTTCAGTGCTGAAACAACACATTCCCTGATGGAGAAACACAGAATCTCTGTTATTTGGGGGGGTATGGGTGGTATTAACAGAGGGACAGAGAACATATCCCTGACTCTGCATCAATTTACCCCCTCAATGCCATCAAACAAACACAGAGAAGCTAAATTCATGTCCCAAGTATTATTCTATATAAACAGTGACAAAAATGAGGGAACAATTTAACTCCCCCCCTTTCTCTCATCTGTTTATCAATTGCAGCCACCTCATAAACACCCATTTCTTGTCCAGGCTGGAAAAGAGGCAGGTTGGGGGGCAGAGGGTTGTTTGTTTCCTGTGGTTTGAAATACTCCAATGAATTGCCAATGGGCAAAATACTCTGTCACTACCTCACTCTGGGGATGGCTGACATAATAATAAACTGAAGAGGATGCTATCTGTCAAACATTAAGGAATTCCAATATTGAAATCTTGCTGCCTTTGGGGGTCAATAAAGAGCAACATTACAAAAGGCACTAAAGTTAGCAGTTTGGGCTGCTAATTTTACATGCCTGCTTCACCAACGCACAGCTAAAAATAGATAAAACAGATAAGAGCACAGAACAAAGAGATGCACTGGACAATTATCATTCTGCTGGCAGTCTAATTTATACTCAGCTTTTTAACCCTTCTTCATTACAAAATAAAGAGATTTTCAAAGTATTAATGCAAACTGAATATGAAATTATTGAAGAATGTTTTATTTTTCTTAGTATTTTCTTGCTCCCATCCTAGTGGGACAGAATAATGAGATTTAAAATATTTTAATAAGGGCATGAGGCTATTTGCCAAGGGGCTCGAATACTAAGTAAGAATATTTACATCTTTTAAGACCCTGGAGGAGGAATCAGCGCAATGCTCTTGAAACACGTACACACATCACAAATATGACAGTTAATTTTAATTTACTGGAAAAGAAAGTACACACTCACTTCAGTTTATTAGGCCTCATTATTCTCAATGAGGCTAAAGGGATGATTATCTTTAGCTGCTCCAATGTGGCCTAAAAGCAAACAGTCTTCCTCATAAGGACAACACTTACTGAAATATGTGAATTTGTACTAAAACACTGTGAAATTGTTCAATTTAACTTACAACAGGTAAAATTTTAAAAACCAGCACTGCTAACAACATTTTCTACCATTATTCTATCCAGCTCGGTTCTATGACTTAAATCCTGACTTTTGAATTTAAATTTTAGAGGAAAACAAAGCAGCATAGCAGTCTGACTCATATCTACACTGTAAACAGGTTTATTCTATGCTTTGTAGCCTTCTTTTGGTAACATTTACTTACAAAATGATAATGTTTATAAACAGAATCGACATTCTGTCTCCTTATGTCTGGGGGCAAGAAAAAAAAATCACCTTCAGATTAACATGACAATTTATGCCCGGCAATTCTGGAGGCATCACCCTGTGCATATTATTCATGTTACCTTAAAAACAACACCATAAACGCATGCTTAAAAAAAAAAAAAAAAAAAAAGGTAAGGGAAAGGAAGAAACAGAGAAATTGAGATTTAGGGTGAAGAGCCTTACCTCTGACACACAACCCGTTCGCAGCTCTGCCAAAACCATCCCACCAGGCAGGCCTCAAGCACTTTTTTACAGCAATAAAACGCCGCTTTTAAACTTCCTGTTTATCCAAACACCGGCCCAGCTTTCCCGCAGCTCGGAGCCGGCACCGCTCACCCCACGAGCGACAGACAGGGGAACCCAACACCCCAAAGCTGCCCTGGGGAACCCAACACCCCAAAGCTGCCCTGGGGAACCCAACACCCCAAATCTCCCCTGGTGGCCCCAACATGCCAAATCTCCCCTGGGGAACCGAACACCCCAAAGCTGCCCTGGCGGACCCAGCACCCCAGAGCCCTCCGGGGCGCAGCTTCAGCGCCCTTTCAGTTCGGTACTTCGGGACGACTCGCACCCCCCGCCCCTCCGCCTCTCGTTTTTATTTCCCTTTATGTTTTCACCCAACCTCAAAAAGCAGCCACCGGGCAAAGTTGCGCCGGCGCTGCGGCCGCCCGGCAGCCCGCGGCGGGGCCCGGAGCGGCGGTGACGGGCACACAAAGCGCGGCGGTGGCGGCGGCGGCCGCTCGCGTGTGTCCCCCCCTCCGCCCCGCTCCCCGCCCGCCCCGCACCGCGGCGAGCAGGCCGGATGGTTACCTAGAGGCAAGCCCTTGTTCAGGAGGTGCGAACTTCCCATGGAGGCGCCGCGCTCCGTCCGCGCCCGCCGCGGGGAGGAGGAGGACGGTGAGGGCGAGGAGGATGCCGGGGGGCAGCGCCGCTCGGAGCCGCCGCGGCAGCCGCGGCATATGGCGGCCGCTCCGTGGGCGCCCCCGAACTGAGCGGCGCCTCGGTGCGCGCCCCCGCCGCCGGGCGCGTCCCCGCCGCCGCCGCGCGCACGCGCGCCCGCCCGCCCCCGCGGGAGGGAGGGAGGGGCGGGGTGGGGCGGAGGGGGGGCGTGGGGGGGAGCGGCCGCCGCCGCCGCCGCCGCCGCCGCGCCCCCCAGGCTCGATCTCCTGGTTCTAGGCGGGCGCCGAGACGAACGAGACAGCGGGGCGGGCGAGCCTGGCTCGGCCGCGCGCAGCGAAACCGGGACCTGCCCTGGGACGCGATGTCGCCACTGCTTTGTTTTGTTTTGTTCTGTTCAAACTTCGGCAAAGTTAACGCCGGCTGCGTTCACAGAGTCACTGAATGGGTCATTTTGTAAGAGACCACAGCGGGTCATCGGGTCCAACCTCCCCGCTCAAACAAGGTTTTCCCCGAGCGCACGGCTCAGGACTGCGTCCAGACGGGTCTGGGAGATCTCCAGGGAAGGAGACCCCACACCCTCTCCGGACAATGTATTCCATGTGCAGTCACTGCACAGCAAAAAAGTTCCCCGCACCTTCAGGTGGAACTTCTGCCCATCACTTTCTGCCCGTTCCTGCCATCACAAACATCAGCACTTCTGGTGTTTCGCTGTATTTGTGATCTGGCTAAGGCTTTTCCCTCACGAACTAACAGGAATAAAAACAAATCAAGCCATAACGCTGTAATTTTGCTCCCGGTGAGGGTCAGTGCCTCCTGCAGCACCCACGATCCGCCCTGAAGAGCCCCAGAACCAACCCCGCGGTCTCCGCAGGGTCGGCACCGCCGCGAGCGGTGAAAATTCTAAGAGAAAGAAATTCTAAGAAATTCTAAGAGCAGCGAATTGCCCAAGGCCAATGAATCCAAGGCCGATTTCTTCCCCACGGGAACGCTCCCATCGCGCCCACGTGGCCGCGGTCCCTCGGGGTCACCCCGCGCCCGCCATGCCCTCCCCGCCCCAACAGCGGCGGCGGCGGCCGACGCGAACCAAAGTGGTGGCGGCGCCCCCGCGGCCGCTGGGTCGGCTGACGGCGGCCCCGCCCGGGCGCGGTGAGGGAGCGGCGGCCGCCATGGCCCCGCCGCCTCCCGCCCCGCGGCTTTTTTTCTCCAGAGCGCCCGAAGCTCCGCTCCAGCCCTCCCAGAAACTTTCGCTCTACTGCCACAGCTGCCCCTTCCTCCTTGCCAGCCGCGGGCGGGAAGCGGGGCCGCGGCCGTTCGCTCGCCCGTCCCCACCCACAGCCCAGCCCAGCCCGGCAGTGAACATCCCTTCTCTGGGTTTTTCCAGAAATAAAACGATCGTTTCCTGTCAGCAACCGGCCCCGGCATCCCTCAGGGACCCGGACCCGCTCGGATAAAGACAGACACTCCTGGGCAGCAAACAAGAGCAGTTCACTGGGAGAACGGACAGGGCTGTAGATTTTCCCCGGGGTTTTTTGGGATTGATTTGCCTATGAGGGGAATATTTGAACCCAGAGGTTATGAAAGGTGGTTTCAGCCTCTGCGTTGTGCGGATTTCAGGAATGCGCTCAGGGCACAACTCAAGGATTTTAGCATAACAGGCAGCCTTCAGCAGCTTGGCTCCAGCTCCCTAAAAACTTGTTTTCCTCCATCATTTCCCAGGTAGCGTGTCCCTTTCATGGGATTATCCACCGGGAGTGGAAGGTAGCTCCCAGGACAAGTTTATGCAGCCTCTGATTTATCTTCATTTTCCTCCTGTATTCCTGGGAAAGCCTTTTGTGGCTCAGCACAGACGTCTCAGACATCCCTCAAAGAACAGCTTCCCTAAATTCTCACTGTGCATCACTAGGGCAGCATCTAGCCAAGCGCCTCATGTGGGGTTTGTATAAATAAATTTGGGTTTAATCACTTTAAAGTGGCTAACCACTTTATTGCCATTTATAGATGTTAGCAAAATATAAAAACACATACATATCAAAGCTCTAAGGAGAAAATAATTATTTTTTTCTCCCTCACTGCTTCAGTTGCCATGTGGCAAAGTATCAGGAATGAACATTAGGGGGTCAAACACGCTTAAACCACAAGAGAAATATCTGTGAATACCAATATGGATATAAAAGTCTCCAGAAAAAAGAAATTACTAGAGGAAAAGGAAAAAATCAAAAATGAAATTAAGAATTCAGTTGCGTTTTTTAATAGAGAGACATAAACAGATCCAGGCACTGAGACCATGTCCTCGGTGGGGTTACATGACTGGGCAAATGTTTAGATCTAAACTGGAACTGCTGCTTCGGGGAGGGAGGGGAGTGTGGCGCAAAATATTATGACAAGGGGAGTGCTCTAAGTGAGGATAAGTTGGCATGATGAACAGATGGAGGATTCAATAACAGGAGGTTATTAATACTGCAGTTTGGTATTCTCTACGCTACTTCGTGAAGGGATTCATATGCTTGCTCTTTTTCCTCTTCTGATTGTACACAGACCTAACAAATACACACACTGTAGGTACCGGGGGACTCAGGTCCCTCCTGGCACACCCATCACTAGTTCCTGCTTCCTGGGAGAACATCCTGGGCTGCATCCTCAGCTGATGCTGACTGGACCAGCAGCAGCAAGCCCAGCTGCACCTGCTGAAGGGAAGGGGTTGTCTGACCCCATGTCCCCGGCCAAAAGGTCTCTGCACCCGGCTCCACAGCTGCCACAGGGCACCTGCTCCACAGAATGAACTATGCAGACTCCCAGGATGGAAAAGAACATGAAATAACTCAAGCGAAATTGAAGTTTGCCTTCAGAACACAACGCATTGCTCTTTCTGCTTCGGAAAATGCAGCTCATTTTCCCCCAGATTCAGCCCCCCTCCCTTGCATGGCTGTCAGTGGCCTGGTTCTGGACTGGACATGAGGAAATCCAGGAGCAGAAGAGCTGACTCCAGCCAAGCCTGGTCCGTTTTGCTGCCTGCTTTCTCCAGCAGCTCGCCTCTGGATCACCTCACACTCAGTCATGGTCACACCTTTCACACCATGGCTCACAGGGCTACAATGCATCTTTCACAAAGCCCAACAATCCCCATCCTCTTACTGCAATCTCTGCTTTCACCAGCAGTGTAACACAGCTGAGTGTCCTCTGTGCCCTGCACTAAGAATTATGGCATTTTTCAAAGCCCCCAAACTGTTCCTTGGCTTCTCACGAGTCAGCTGGAGGAGCACATGTGCTGCACAGCAAATACATTGTTTTAAGTGTATCTGTTAACAGCCACATGTATAATTTAAGTGCAAGTTTTATTCCCCTCAGAATGGGCAACCATAAGGGCATGACCCCGGGCTGTCACAAATTCAGGGCATTAGGGCTCACTATCTTTAGCAGATGGGACTTTGGAGATAGCGAAAGAGGAAGTTTTGCTGTTTTACCCCCTAAGATACATGCTGAATGTTTTCTGAAGTGTAGAGTGAGCTTTGACAATTTTCTTACACAAAGATGCTGCTATTGTGTGCTTACAGATTTTCTTTGGTTTGTCACAGCCATGCGTGCTGGTTCTTTCATGCATGATTTTGCTTTGTTATCAAACAGACGTCATTCATTGTAACAGTTTTTAAAGCCATAAATTTAAAACCTTTATGCATTTTTAATCAAAATGCAAGATTATGTTTCAATGGAATATCTTAACTTCTGTCAACAGTAAATCTTGCAGATGCTATTATGAGATCCTAGGAGAGATTTACGTCAGAAGAAAAGAATGGTTGGATAAAGAGGGCCCAACACTTAACCTTTATCCTAAAATAGATTGTTTAAATGTACAATCAAACTAAGTCAATTCAATTTATTTAAAACCTGGAAAGAAAACTTTGTTTGGATTTAAATATTTCCTTAATTCTTTCACTTAGATCTTGAGGAGCATTTGTTTATATAACACACAGAGAGATCAGCCTCCTCTGATTTTGCAATTGCGTATTTCAATTAGAGCTTCTTTTTTTTTAGTTATAACTTCCCCTGTGTGCAACTTCCCACTGCAAGAAGTTATTGCTTTCTGGTTCATGTGAAAGTCATTTTGGAGAAAAATCTACAGGTTTTGAGGGGAAAATGGGAAAAAAAGAATAATTGACTAAAGAGAACCACCTCATCTTTAAGAAATTGCAGTCATTGCAAGCATGAAATAAAACAGAGGACCTTCATCTACTGTTAGAAAGAGGTGAAGGATGAAAGTAGTAGATTAAAGTTCCACTTAATGAACAAGAAGTTCAGCTGTGTCAAACACTCAAAGTCATTTTTGAAATGCCAAATGTGCATTGCTCCTTTCTCAGACTGGAACAGCTCTACTAGGTCTATGCTGGAAATACAAAGTGAAGAAGCTTATAGTGAGCTGAATGAATGGAAGAATAAATTCCCTTCAAGCCACTGAACACAAAAAACCCTCTCTCTTCTGATGTTATCTGTACTGACTATGGGATATTCTTCTTGTTCTCACCCTCTTCATACAAGTGCTAAAAACATAAGAACCCAGGGTCAAATTAAATCCTCTGCATTTTCTTGTTGTCGTGAAACAAGACATTATTTTCCATCTAGTCAGGGGGAGTTACCAGACCATCTCCAGGATGGTCTGTGTTGTGGCCGAAGAGAAAAAGAAGACAGAGATGAACAGCAGAAGAAACCTATCAAGAACCATGAGTGGATGTCAGCCATTGTCCATCTGTTCACAGTGGAATAAATCCAGACCTGAAGGAACAATTGCAACCTGCCCCATATGGCTCCCCCCCTTCTGCGCTGGCAGGGCTTCTTTGGGGATTTGACATTGGATGAGGTAAAGGAGAAGCAGCACAATCTGTGTTCCCAGGAATGAGCAGCCAATTAACACGAAAGGACAACAAATGGGTTAGTGACCCAGGGAAGGTTTTCTCCTCCTCACCTGTCTGAAATCCTGCTCATTCAAACTGTGTAACTGGCAGAGCCGAGGGTCCTGCTATTAATGAAATCTTAAAATTTTACATTTAGCTACTAACAAAATTCTGTGGACAGTGGGAATCCCTCAGTTGGTGAGACCACAGATCCAGCTG